CACTTTCAGGTCTCCTCACACTGCTGGTGGTTTCATCATTTTGTCATAGGGTGCTGGCAGATTACGGGCCTCCCATTGCTGCTGCCAGGCCCGTAATCTGCCATGGGCCCCTGTACCGCCTCCTCATGCTGCTGCCAGGTCCAGTAATCTGTCATGGGTCCCTGTACGGCCTCCCATTGCTGCTGTCTCCATCGCCACACTCTGCCATGTGCCACTTTCAGGTCTCCTCACACTGCTGGGTTGGGTTCCATTTTTGTCATAGGGTGCTGGCAGATTACGGGCCTCCCATTGCTGCTGCCAGGCCCGTAATCTGCCATGGGCCCCCGTACCGCCTCCTCATGCTGCTGCCAGGTCCAGAGTCTCTCATGGGTCCCTGTACGGCCTCCCATTGCTGCTGTCTCCATCGCCACACTCTGCCATGTGCCACTTTCAGGTCTCCTCACCACTGCTGGTGTGTTCCATTTTGTCATAGGGTGCTGGCAGATTACGGGCCTCCCATTGCTGCTGCCAGGCCCGTAATCTGCCATGGGCCCCCGTACCGACTCCTCATGCTGTGACGTTGCAACAAGGTGGAATTCAACCCTACATATGTTAACCCGAACGCCTTTACGAACAGCGAAAGGCCATCATCGATTTCCTGATGTTACAAGCGGATAAAGGTACTCCCCTGTGTAACTTAGATGTCAGCCATTGGCAGCTCATGCGTGACACCTGCCGCTTGCTCAGGCCCTTTGAGGAGGCCACGCTATTCGTGAGTAGGGTCGGCAGGACTATGGGATGAACGACGTCATTCCTCTGTTGCACGTCCTGGAACAAATGCTGTTAACAATGGCTGGTGGTCAGGGTGCGGTAGACGTGGCGCACAGATCTCAACGCCACATGACCCCTGTGGGGGCAGGACAGGAAGAAGAGGAGAGGAGGTAGAGGAGGACATTGGTGCTGCTGGAATTATTGAGTGAAATGGGTGGTTTTTCCACTCAGCGGGACAGGAGTGGTAGGAGCAGGAGCATCTGGTAGAGGAGGAGGAGGAGACAGAGGACCCAGACGCACCGTGGCAGTATGCTGTGGAGATGGAGGCAGGGAGTCCCTCGCATTCCTTGGCACAAATGGCCCATAGCACGCTCGGTTGCTTGCGTAGCGACAGCCGAATAATAACCATCAGACAGAGGGATGACTTTTGGCTGTCCACCTTGTTGGACCCTCGCTACCGTTCAAAAAATGGTGGCCTTTTTCACACCTGCTGAGAGGCAGGCCAAAAATAACGTACTATAAAAACCCACCTATGTAGTCAGTCAGTTGGTCTCTGCCTTTCTGCGCCAACGTCCATCCTCAGACACTGTGGGCCCTGTGCGCTCGCGTTCGCGTTGCCGCTGCCATGGCAGCAAGGGGAGGGGTGGGGTGGTAGGGCAGCAGTGGCAGCTCCACCAGCAGCGGCTGCCTCAGTCTGCAGTCGATGATGAGTAGCTTTCTTCACCAGCGCAGTGAGGAAACTACTAACCAGCCGCAGCAGCAGCAGCATCAGGTGGACCTGGAGCAGGACCTCAAACAACAGGCTTGGGCCTACTTGGACAGCACCCTGCCAACCGAGGTAGACAATCCCCTTGACTACTGGGCAACGAAAACTTGACCTTTGGCCCCAACTAGCTGAATTTGCCCTTGAAAGGCTGTCATGCCCGGCCAGTAGCGTGGCATCGGAGCGCGTGTTTAGTATGCGGCAGGAGGTATTGTAACTCCGCGGAGGACACGACTGTCCACCCAAAGTGTGGAGAGACTCACGTTTGTGAAAATGAATCAGGCGTGGATTAGTCTGGATTTCAAACCACCAGTTCCTGACACAACTGACTAAATCCGCCATGAATCATGCCCCAAACATGTTCCACCTCTGGCATGTGCCACTTTCAAGTCTCCTCACACTGCTGGTGGGTTTCATTTTGTCATAGGGTGCTGGCAGATTACGGGCCTCCCATTGCTGCTGCCAGGCCCGTAATCTGCCATGGGCCCCCGTACCGACTCCTCATGCTGCTGCCAGGCCCGTAATCTGCCATGGGCCCCTGTACCGCCTCCTCATGCTGCTTGCCATGTCCAGAGTCTCTCATGGGTCCCTGTACGGCCTCCCATTGCTGCTGTCTCCTTCGCCACACACTCTGCCATGTGCCACTTTCAGGTCTCCTCACACTGCTGGTGGGTTCCATTTTGTCATAGGGTGCTGGCAGATTACGGGCCTCCCATTGCTGCTGCCAGGCCCGTAATCTGCCATGGGCCCCCGTACCGCCTCCTCATGCTGCTGCCAGGTCCAGAGTCTCTCATGGGTCCCTGTACGGCCTCCCATTGCTGCTGTCTCCATCGCCACACTCTGCCATGTGCCACTTTCAGGTCTCCTCACACTGCTGGTGTGTTCCATTTTGTCATAGGGTGCTGGCAGATTACGGGCCTCCCATTGCTGCTGCCAGGCCCCGTAATCTGCCATGGGCCCCTTTACCGCCTCCTCATGCTGCTGCCAGGCCCGTAATCTGTCATGGGTCCCTGTACGGCCTCCCATTGCTGCTGTCTCCATCGCCACACTCTGCCATGTGCCACTTTCAGGTCTCCTCCCACTGCTGGTGGGTTCCATTTTGTCATAGGGTGCTGGCAGATTACGGGCCTCCCATGCTGCTGCCAGGCCCGTAATCTGCCATGGGCCCCCTGTACCGCCTCCTCATGCTGCTGCCAGGTCCAGAGTCTCTCATGGGTCCCTGTACGGCCTCCCATTGCTGCTGTCTCCATCGCCACACTCTGTCATGTGCCACTTTCAGGTCTCCTCACACTGCTGGTGTGTTCCATTTTGTCATAGGGTGCTGGCAGATTACGGGCCTCCCATTGCTGCTGCCAGGCCCGTAATCTGTCATGGGCCCCTGTACCGCCTCCTCATGCTGCTGCCAGGTCCAGAGTCTCTCATGGGTCCCTGTACGGCCTCCCATTGCTGCTGTCTCCATCGCCACACTCTGCCATGTGCCACTTTCAGGTCTCCTCACACTGCTGGTGTGTTCCATTTTGTCATAGGGTGCTGGCAGATTACGGGCCTCCCATTGCTGCTGCCAGGCCCGTAATCTGTCATGGGCCCCTGTACCGCCTCCTCATGCTGCTGCCAGGCCCGTAATCTGTCATGGGTCCCTGTACGGCCCTCCCATTGCTGCTGTCTCTCCATCGCCACACTCTGCCATGTGCCACTTTCAGGTCTCCTCACACTGCTGGTGGGTTCCATTTTGTCATAGGGTGCTGGCAGATTACGGGCCTCCCATTGCTGCTGCCAGGCCCGTAATCTGCCATGGGCCCCCGTACCGCCTCCTCATGCTGCTGCCAGGTCCAGAGTCTCTCATGGGTCCCTGTACGGCCTCCCATTGCTGCTGTCTCCATCGCCACACTCTGCCATGTGCCACTTTCAGGTCTCCTCACACTGCTGGGTGTGTTCCATTTTGTCATAGGGTGCTGGCAGATTACGGGCCTCCCATTGCTGCTGCCAGGCCCGTAATCTGTCATGGGCCCCCCAGTACCGCCTCCTCATGCTGCTGCCAGGTCCAGAGTCTCTCATGGGTCCCTGTACGGCCTCCCATTGCTGCTGTCTCCATCGCCACACTCTGCCATGTGACACTTTCAGGTCTCCTCACACTGCTGGTGGGTTCCATTTTGTCATAGGGTGCTGGCAGATTACGGGCCTCCCATTGCTGCTGCCAGGCCCGTAATCTGTCATGGGCCCCCGTACCGCCTCCTCATGCTGCTGCCAGGTCCAGAGTCTCTCATGGGTCCCTGTACGGCCTCCCATTGCTGCTGTCTCCATCGCCACACTCTGCCATGTGCCACTTTCAGGTCCTCCTCACACTGCTGGTGGGTTCCATTTTGTCATAGGGTGCTGGCAGATTACGGGCCTCCCATTGCTGCTGCCAGGCCCGTAATCTGCCATGGGCCCCCGTACCGCCTCCTCATGCTGCTGCCAGGTCCAGAGTCTCTCATGTGTCCCTGTACGGCAGCTCCCATTGCTGCTGTCTCCATCGCCACACTCTGCCATGTGCCACTTTCAGGTCTCCTCACACTGCTGGTGTGTTCCATTTTGTCATAGGGTGCTGGCAGATTACGGGCCTCCCATTGTTGCTGCCAGGCCCGTAATCTGTCATGGGCCCCTGTACCGCCTCCTCATGCTGCTGCCAGGTCCAGAGTCTCTCATGGGTCCCTGTACGGCCTCCCATTGCTGCTGTCTCCATCGCCACACTCTGCCATGTGCCACTTTCAGGTCTGCTCACACTGCTGGTGGGTTCCATTTTGTCATAGGGTGCTGTATGGCCTCCCATTGCTGCTGCCTCCACCGCCACACTGTGGCTCCACACTCTGGTTTTGGCCCCGTGACTGCCCAAATGAGTGAAGTGTGCGGTGATTCTAAGATCGACGGCACTCATCTGCATGTCATACTGACTGACAGTATTATTTCTCTTCCCCAGCAGACTCCGAGGGCATTTAAATTAAAGGTACAGTGTTCTGCACTAATATAAAGGCTCTCTGAAGCCTAGAAACACCCTTTTTAAAGTTAAATTCGCAGCGAATATATTCGCCTCGAATCAAAATTTATTCCTCGAATTCGCCGAATCAGCCGAATCGAATTTTTGAATACTTCGCTCATCTCTATTTATGACACCCAGGAGAATATGTTCAGCACTTCTCTGGAGATCTGTGTTCTCCCTCCAGATTCTCCAGCCCAGAGCTGGAGAATCGGAGGGACCAAAAACTAAGCAGAGATAATTTACCTCTGCTTAGTAAACTGATCTTTTACTGTAATCTCGCGAGATTATAGTAAAATCAGCCGTTTTCCAGCGTATAAATGAGAACATGTAAATACTGTATAAAGTTTGAATTATGCCAGTTTGGCTGTAAAAGTGGAATAATATTTTAAGTCATTATGACATGTGAAATTACATTGATGCAGTGCCATTGAAACGTGCATCTGTCCTATGTTTACTTGCTGTTAATAATACCTGTGAGCGTTAAAGAAGTCTTTGATTGTCTGTGCAGACTGCATATTCTGACCATGGACTTTACCGGCTAAATTGTCCAGTTCTGACATCAGATTTTCAACTCGTTCTTTTATTCCACTGTTTCTGAAATCACAAAATAGGCAAAGAGAATCTGTGACATACTTTTTACCAATCATAAATATTAGTACAGTCATCTCATAAAATCCTAACTACAAAATGTCACAGTGTTTTAAACCAGGTTAGAACCAGTAAAATAAGAAAATAGTTTTAATAGCATGCACTGCCCTATTATAGATATAAGAAAAATTATAAGCATTTTTTCCCCCTTTTTTATAGGTGATCACATTCCTTCTGTTCTCAGATGCATAAGATTTGGGGAAGGTGAAACAACAGCACACTGATCTTCCAGGTGAAAGGCTGTGCGGTGGGGGGCTGGGTCAGGACAAGTCTGCTCATTGGAAGAGAGCACAATGATTTCTCAGCACAGCTAGAGAACTGACCACGGTGTGTTCTGCTTAGTGTGGTCAGTTTTTCTTAGGAAAGCAGGAGGACTGGCAGGAACACTAGGGATTTTGCACAGATGAAGCAATGCAAAGAGAACAGGATACTTTTTCATACAAGTAAATGATACAACAGGCACATATCAGGGATATAAAATGTTGGGTATACATATTCTTTAATGATGTTCTGCAAGGTTTCCCTCCCAGGTCTCTCTGCCATCCAAAAAAGGCCACATAGCTATTCCATTATAAATGTTAAGCAAAAGAAGAAAAGGCTTCCGTAGTCTAAAGCCATATAATAATTTATTTAAAGTTAAAAAAAATCTTAGTAATATTGACAATTGACCATGCAATTCAGCATTATGTAAAAAGGTTTGCATTTGCACCACTCATCACCCAGCATTGGATCCAGGGGCGGACTGACAACTCATGGGGCCCGGGCAATAGGGGATCATGGGGCCCCTGTGTCCTTGCCCGAACTCAAAAAAGCCTATGAAAAAGGTACCAGGGGCATCTCATGGGACCTCCTACTGACCCCGGGCCCTCGGGCAGTGCCCGAGTTTCCAAATGGTCAGTCCGCCCCTGATTGGATCCCACCCTGGCAGTGTGATGGCATCACCAACCTCCTCCCATTTTATGTGTTTCCTCTGAATCAACTTCCTCAGGACTGATCTTATGATAAAACCAGCTGGTTTTCTCCTTCGTTCTGTCTTTAAACATACTGTATCATTACCTTTTTTTTACTTAGTCTCTAGTTATTCCTATTTAGCCATCCAATGTCACTACCACAAAGTTGTCTATATACAAAACTTTTAGCAATATAATATTCTGACAATTCCAAAGCATTTTAAAATAAATATAACAAATATATCCCCACAAAGGTCATACAATACGTATTCTAATAGAATAGCACTAGTAGGACCTTTGTGGAGATATTTTTGTTACATTTCATTTTAATATATGCTGTGGTATTGTCGAAATATTATGTTGCTAAATAATTGCCTTGTTTTGTTAATAGACATCTCTATAATTGAAACATGTAACGTCTAAGATAGGAAAGCTAGTGATAGGTAGGTGGTAGGATTTAATCCTTGGCAAAGGAAGGGCGGGAAAGCCAATTTTAGCATAAAATGGTAGCAGAAGTTATGATGCACACTCCTCTCCTGAGGAAGCAAATTCAGACAAAACGCATAGTGTGGAAAGTGGGAGGAGATGGTTGGCATCATCATGTTACCAGAAAGGGATCCACTACTGCCGATGCTGGGTGATGAGCAATGCACATGCAAATGTCGCATTATCAATTGTGAGTGTTTTTATTTTCCAATGGTTTTTATTGAAAAGTTTTTAGAATACAAATAGCATCAAAAACAAATGCCATGATATAATACAAAAATAAGACTCAATACTTGTAGCCACATAAAGCACCTTTAATAAACATTAGGAAAAATATGACAAATGTTGTAGAACCAGAACAAATGGGTTCACCCAACCACACTACACAGAGCAGTGAAAACAGACCTATTAAAGTAAGAACAGAACAAAAAAGAAATAAGAGAAGAGAAAGAAGAAGAAACAAAAGAAGGAGAAAAAGAGAGTCACTGCGAGAAGGCCCAAGGTACAGAGATGTATTGAATCCATGGGTCCCACGTTTTGTTGAATTTAGTAGTATTGTGTAAAATACAAGTAAATTTGTCATTGATCATGATCCAGTTCAATTTAGTTTTAACATATTCTAGAGGGATAAGCAAACTCTGCCAACATATAGGTAAGTAGCTTAAGGGAGTTTTTAGGGTTTGTAGTGGGATATTTATGGAAGAGGGCTGTCTCCGGAGTTCTACGTATATTCACCCCCCGTCACCGTATAACTAAAATTAAATATGCGGATCCAAAATCTAACTACTGTTGGGCATTGTGAGTGTTTTTAACAGTTTTTTGTTTTGTCTAACATATATGAGATTGAATGCATGTGCTTTTGACTATGCTTATAAAGAATTTTAGAAGTGCTCGATAAAAGTAGGCATGCCTAAGGGGAAGCACTTTGACTGCACATCAAAGAGTTTATTTCTGAGCACTGAAAAGCACTGGGGATACTTTTTGTATTTCTTTATGTTGCTGTAAGGTCAATTATTTTTTAATTTTGAACTGCAATAGGAGACTTCAATAGGATAAATAATTAACTGATCTATAAACTATTGAAGAGTTGGTTTATGTATTCATATGTACATTTTTGTGTATATAAGTCATAGTTTGAGAAAAGCACTTAATTCATTTTAGGGAATGCAAATGGTACAATGTACTTTTCAAAAAAAAAAAAAAATAGCATACATACTGTTTTAATGACTCTAGTAGCTGTTGTATAACAGGTGAAGATGGCAATTTCTTGCTTTGATATTGCAAAATTCTTCCACGACCTGTGTGCTTCTTCTGCAGCAAAGACAAATGATCTTTCATTTACTGCTGATAAACAGAACATATTCATGTCTTGATTTACAGTATATTAATTCATTTTGGTGAAACTTTACTCTCCTAATCATTTACTATCATGAGAGAAGTATTGGGGCTGTCATTGCATGTCCAGATCCCAGTGATATCCCTCCCTTGTATAGGAGCTGGAAAGAGAAGGAGCAATTTTGCCCCAAAAGGCAGTGAGTAGGGCAAAGGGGGAACAAAGATGAGCTTCACCGATTTCCAGAATTCCTGTAAGCATAGACATCTCCGTAATATATGCATGACTGTGATCTTGTAGGCAAATAATATGATATGATTTGTGTTCTTGTGAGAAAGGGTGCCCCAGAACTCTCTACCACCTTTGAATGTATAAAAGGGGAATTGCCCTCTATATCAAGCAAAATAAAATGTGCAAGTGTGAGTGTATGTTGTAAAGGGAAGGAATATAGACATAACATTTTAAACAGAGAGAGGAAAAAAAACAGAATCCTGCTTCAGGATAGTATGGATGTAATATAAGAGTTATAGAATATGCCATGAGCCAACTTCCATACTGAGTGTTGAGGTGAATTAAGCCGGCCATAGATGGTGAGATTTTGCACAGTGCTTTACAAATGTTATGCAAATGATTCACTGATATTCTACTGGAGAGAGCCAGGGTACATTTTTGCTAATTTGATTCACTAAGAAATCTTTATTTTTTCAGTTTTTAGGCATTTATAAGTCATATATTTGGATTTTCCCATTTAAAATACAGTGACAGTATTTAATGATCAAAATTTAAATGCAGTATTAGGGAAGTTATAAATACAAGATCTATTGATTGTAGGTAAGAAATAGATTTCCCTGTTACTGCTGTAGTATTCAGCAATTATCACGTATGGGCAGACTGATTGTACCCAAATCAATCCATCAATCAACTTGGGTGCAACCAGCATGTCGCATTTCTAACATGTGATTATTGCTAGTGGCTGCAGCCGCTAGCAATAATCACTGTGTTTCTCCTGGCAGGGACAGCTCCCCGTACCCCCGCCAGGAGAACACAGTAGCTCCCCCATCAATACTGACTGTATGAATGGGGTATGGGGAGTAATTTTCAGGTTACAAGAAAGAAAATCGCATCATCTATGGCTTGCCTTACTCTGGAGATTTAAATCTCTTATCATTTGTAAAATGCAGGCGTATGAAGGCATCCCCTTAGGCAAGATTAAGAAACAGAGCCTCTGAAAGCTAAATTTAGAGGAAGGTGTTCTTAGAATCTTGGGAAGTTATGAATCCAGTGTTTAATTCCTGTTTTTTTTCTGAGCCCTAATAAAATAGTGTAGAGCAGAAATTCAAAAGGCATTTGGGAGGAAAGGAAATAGGAAGAGTTTTTAATAAATATAGCAGTCTTGGGATAATAATGAATGTTATTCTTATTGTGGTCACTTTTGTGCAATCTACTAAGCTATTTTTTATGCATTTGCAAGAGTGGTTTGATGTTTAAGTCAAAGATCTTATTAAAATCAGGATCTGTTGATGCCTAGGTAGCTAATGTGGGTATGGCAAGTTATCCTTAATCCTTTGTATAGTTTTATCTGTCTTCAGGACACCAATTGCTTTAGGTTAAGTATAATTTATTTTATAATTGGAAAGTAAGCTCAGTTAGTTTAGTTTGGATTAATTTGAGTTTAGGATGATACCATTTATTTGTTAATGAAATAGAATGTGCAAGCTTTCCAAGCATGTTTTCCTCTCTTTCAGGAAATCAGCTAGTAAGACTGAAAGAATTGTCTTGGGGTAAGATAGGTAAAAGAGAAGATCATTGGCATAAGCAGCCACTTTATGATGACCAGATCAAATTGCAAAGCTGTGGATGTACATGGAGTCCCAAATTGTGCATAAGAAAGGTTCCATGGTTATGACAAATATTAGTAGGGGGAATAGTGTGCAGCCCTGCCTGGTGCTGTTCATAATTTCAAATAAGTCAGAAAGGGTATAATTTGTTTTGACAACAGCTGGGGCTATAGAATTGATAGCCTGAATCTATTTACGCATATTATTACCTAGAGCTACAGTATATGAAATATAGATCGTTCAACAGGAGCAGGCTAATTTTGAGCCGATCTGTGTGTAGTTCTTTCTGTTCAACAGAATCTGATCATTAAACTAGCTTCTGTTGGGTGGTCCTGCTGGGAAACCAGTATTCAAACAGCCACTATTCTGATAGGGGGAAGAGTCCCTGCTGTCAAAAAACAATAGCACAGGCCCTGCTTTCACATTGCTGATTAAAAGAAAAACAACTCACAGTGTGTTACCAGCTTAAGAGGAGATTTCCCTCAAAGGGGATCCAAGGAAAAAATCTCCATAATGAGACACAGTTGGCAAACAAACAGAGGTTGGTTTTAAATCGCCCCTATTCTATCCAAAAAAAAAAAATGTTTGGGCTTTAGGTGTGCTAAAAATATTATTCAAAGTGTAGAACCGTCTAGACCTTCAAAAGAGCAATGAACCCCAAGTAGGGTCCTCCCAGTGGACATTACATAGGAGTAATGTCCACTGGGAAATTACAGCATGTGTACCTTGCTGTGAAGGCCAGTTATAGACTGGGGCAGAGCCCCATGTGTTCCTTGCTGTGAAGGCCAGTTATAGACTGGGGCAGTGGCCATTTTTTGGACATTACATAGGACAAACCAGAATAGAGAAAATAAGGTTGTGTGCAATTAGTCCATGATAGTATTGTAACATACAACCAATATGTTGACCATGAAGACAAAGTGGAATGATATAGGTTCTTAGAGTCAATCCTTGGGATGGAAGTCCAAGATACTGCAGGGGTATCAGGTTCTGCAAAAGTCAAAAAAAGGTTGACCTTGTGTTTTGCTGCAAATTGTCCTTGTTATGATCCGCCAGGTGGTGCCTCTGGCAGCCCACTTGACAGACCTACCCAAAGCGTGGAGTCTAAGTCCCGGTCTGTGCTTTCACCAGGGCCCCTGATGGTGGGGATGGACTTGAAACAGACCAGGACCAGGTCACGACTGAGCAGGCCCACCAGTGGCAGAGGGAACCTCCGGGGATGTATAGGTACCGGGAGAGCCAGATGTGAGGAGGGCCGGCAGGACCTAGCAGGATGGATCACGAGCAGTGGTCCCGTGGGGTAGGCGAGGTACAGAATCGGCAGGCGGAGAATCGGCAGGTCACACGCAGGGTCAGCAGGATATGTCAGTCCGTAGATAGGTCAAACAAGCCGGGAGTCAGGAGGGGAGAAGGCAGAGTAGTCAGGACAATCCGGGTCAAATACAGGAGAAGGCAGCGTAGTCAGGATGATCCGGGTCAAACACAGGAGAAGGCAGCGTAATCAGGGTCAATCAGGGTCAATAACTCAGGTACAGGACTCAGGAACACAGATAGACCTTGCGGCGATAGTGACAGTGCAGGGCATGTTTAAATATTGCGCCTTGCACTGTCATTGGCCGCCCAGGACGCGCCCCCGGGCTGTCATTGGCCGCCCGAGGCACGCCCGCGGCTCCTACTGCGCATGCGTGGCGTCCTGTCATCTGCGGCTCGCTGGGACCTGGTGCTTGTGTCCCGGCGTGAGCAGTCGCCAGTGCGCGTGCGCTGGCTGACAGGACGCCGCGCCTCCTGACATTGCCCCCCCCTATGGGCACCCTCCGGGAGCCCCACCAATCTCTCCACCGTGGGTGGCCACGAAAAAATTCCCAGATGAGCCTGGGGGCGTGAACATTCTGGATGGGTTCCCAAGAGTTCTGCTCAGGGAACCCTTCCATTTTATCAGGAACTGCGTCTGGTAAAAAATTGGTAAAAAACGGGGATTGTCCCGTAGCTGAGTGGTTCGAGTTGTTATAGGCAAACTCTGCAGAAGGCAACAGTGTTAGCCAGTCGTCCTGAAGGTAGGAGGTGTAGCATCTTAGGTACTGTTCCAGCGTTTGATTGGTCCTTTCCGTTTGCCCGTTGGTCTGTGGGTGGTAAGCGGATGACAGTGACAGCTTGATTCCCAATGCTTCACATAAGGCTTTCCAGAATCTTGATGTGAACTGGACTCCCCGATCCGATACTATGTCTTCGGGAACCCCATGTAGCCTCACTACTTCCTTAATGAATATCCGTGCAGTCTCCGGCGCCGACGGTGTCCTTTCCAGGGGCACGAAATGAGCCATCTTTGAAAAGCGATCCACGATCACCATTATTGCAGTGTAGCCTTGAGATGGTGGGAGTTTGACTACAAAATCCATGGCAATCATTTGCCAGGCCCGTTTGGGTATCGGCAACGGACGCAACAATCCCCAGGCCTTGCTTCTGGAGGGCTTATTCCTTTGGCACGTGGGACAGGTCTGGACGTAGCGCTCGCAGTCCTTGACCATGTTTGGCCACCAGAACGAGCGCTGCAGTAGCTCCTGAGTCTTTGTCACCCCAAAGTGCCCTGCCAATGGATGGTCGTGGCAGTGCCCCAGGACCAAAGTTTGAACTCCTTCTGGCACCACGATCCGATTTTCCTTCCAAAGCAGACCATCGCGGTTCTGGAGGGGCAACCCAGGCGGGACTGGCAGTCCAACGGAAGCGTCCATCAGTCTGGAGCGAAGTTCCGTTTGCAGGGCGAGGAAACTTCCGGACGGTAAAATTGTGTCAGGTAACACTGTATCGTCGGGGTCCTCAAACATGCGGGACAGAGCGTCTGGTTTCGTATTCTTAGACCCAGGTCGGTACGTTATATGAAAAAGTAAACCGAGAGAAGAAAAGAGCCCATCTCGCCTGGTGTGGTCTCAGTCGTTTTGCCGTTCTTAAATACTCGAGGTTTTTGTGATCCGTGAATATAAGGATTGGGTGTGTGGCTCCTTCCAGGAGATACCTCCATTCTTCTAGAGCGGACTTAATGGCCAGGAGTTCCCGATCTCCAATCTCATAATTGCGCTCCGCCGGTGTCAACTTCCTGGAGAAGAACGCCACAGGATGCAGTAGCTCCTTGGTACCATTCCTTT